CGATGGCAAATTAGTAATTCCACATTCGTTCTCCTCGTCATGAATGGTTTGCATCATTTTACATGTTCGTTGCCTCATAACTGTTATTACTTGTGGAGGCGCCACTTCTGTTATAAACCTCGCTACACGTGCATTCGCCATTTCTTTTCTTTTTTTTCTTACAACCGAAGCGTAATTCGAAAACAATGAAAACTAGGGTATTATATTTTGAGCTTGTAAGAAAAGTAGGAGTTGTGTGGAACTTTACGAGCCCGGTTGGTATTTATATAGCTCTATTTACGAATTTATTTACGACTTATCATTTTTTTTTAATAATCATTTTTAGATGTTTATGCCGCCTCTTACATTTCGAATTTATTATCCGATAATAATGTGTTTGAAATTTATTAATGAGGCGGGACCGGACGGTGTTGCGTGTCTAAAGTTAGATAGGGAATTCGGATATCCGGTGTAGATCTTGTTTTTGTTTTCTTCGAAAATGTTTGATTTAAACTTTTTTAGGGTTTGTCTTGGCTTGTAGAAATTTCTGCTTTTTGGTTTGAAAAATTCACATGGAGGAAAGAAATGTGTTGTGACATGCTTATCTGTAATTGCTGTCTTGAGTTACCTGCTATGCACGGCATTAAAAATAAAACATTTCCATTTAATTTTTATGTTTTTTTTTTACAATTTATTTAGACCTTTTGGAACTTAATTAGGATATTGAAATTTGGTTGTTCAATACAAATAAATCTCTATAAATTAATACAGTCGGATCTAGCTAAAATCTATTAATTTAGCGAAATATTAAATTATTTAACTAATAATTTAGTAGATTTTTACCAAATTGTGACCAGAAGAAACTATTATTTAAACGAGATTACTAATTTATCGAGTATCTACTGTATTCAATTTCAGAATAGCAGGAAAATTAACCTCTGGTGTTAAGCCTATCATAGGCGCCGTATCAGCCAGGTAATTCATTGTCTGATTAGAACATAAAAGCGTGTTTTGAAATTTAAGGGGATTCGGATTATCTTTAAAAAAAGAACGTTTTTGGACGGATTGTGGAAAATGACCACAATATACCTTTACATAAAAAGAAAACTAAAAAAAGAAAAATAATTTTGGACCTTGGTTACACTTTTTTCCGGTCATTTTCCAGCGTTCGTGAGCTCACGAGCCTTATTATTTTTATTTTTATATATTATTATTTAAATAATATGTAATAATATAAAGTATTATGAAATGAACATATAAATATTAAAAAATATATACCATAACAGTTTATTGGTTCTTTGTAATTTTTCATTATATAATCCAAATAATTTTTAATAATAAAAAATTCATAGTTAAGAAAAAAAAAACATTAATTGAGCTTGGACTCGAGCTCGAGCTCGAGCCAAAAAAAAAAAAGAAACTCGACGAGCTTAATCTCGAGCCAAAAAAGAAAAACTCGACGAGCTCGAGCTCGAGCCTGCCAAAACAGGCAAACACGGCTCGTTCACTCCACTCCTTATATTCAGACTTGAATAGAATATCCTTTTACATTATTCAATAGTATTTTAATTAATGAAAAATCATGCAATTACACCTTTTAATGGCATTCTGGTGATATTTGTAATTCTGGCGAATAAGATAATGATTTTTTTTATAATTTAAACATATCTTAATAAATTTGTAATTTACCCTTTGCAATATTTGGGTTTTAGTAGTTGAAGGCTTGGAGCCAAAATTAACTACCCTGATTTCTAAGCCAGAGAAGCTATTGGCGCATAATAATATTATTTTCTCATTCACAAAGTAATTAATTGCGTGCCTAAATTTTTGGGAAAAAAAAAATTTGAAAAAAAAAAAGAAAAAGAAACCAAACACCTGTCAATATTTTCTGCCATTAATTTCTCTCATGAATTACCCACCTACGATTTCTCCTCTTCTTTCGAACACAGCCCACTTTATAGATGGACGAGTTGCATGCAACTCTCATGTAATTGTAATACATACAATTTTGTCTTCTCTGCACAAACCAAATCAACAATCCCCCATCTTCACATTCTCTCTCTAGTTTTCTCATTCCATTCAAGAAACTTTCTCTCTCTCTAGAAATAATCATGAGAAGGCAAATAAGCTGTATTAACTACTGGGTTGAGGTTGCACCATCACCGTTGATTTATCCGCACAAGGCATCAAACGCGCCAAAACTCGAGACAATAGCCGAAGAAGGATCCTCGGAGAAAATCGAAGCAACTATTATCACAATGAAGGCTTTATATATTCTTCCAATCATTCTCTCTATAGCTTCTTACCTGCTGATAAATAGATTGTCCTTCACTTGACATTAACAAACCATAAGAACAACACAAATTCCTTCATTCATTAATATTTCTTCCATTTACGTGAATTCGACAACATTGTAGAAGAAAAGGAATGCAGATGGCGATGGAAAATCGAATTTTGGTGGCGGGCGAAGAAGAAATCTTTTCGGGTGAGGAATTTAAAGAATTGACAAAGCTAATTCAATAGGTTTTCTTTAAGTGTTTGTTCTTTTATAAGACATTGTTTGGCTCTATCCTAGGATTCAGTAACTTCTATCATGTAAAATTTTGTGACTTACTTACAATTTTGTATTACTAGTTTCTACCATTTGTGTTTTAAGGATTTTCGGATTTTACGGGTATCGATAATTAAATATCGTCCATTGATTGCAACTCCATGCATTATTTTTTCCGTACAGAATACACTGCTACTCGGAAAACTTAGCCATATATGTATTTTCCCAATAAACATATATAAAATCACAAGCATTTACATACATCAAGAAGCATCCAATATTAAAACATGGGTAGCATGTGTTTAATCTCGTCAACTTGAAGAGTTCAGAAATTAACGGAAACTATACCGCATAAAGATCTACTATACATAATACACACACCAACATGGATGTGTGTGTGTGAGAGATATATTCTGAAGATCTACTATTCATAATAACACAATAAAATAGTGAACAACAGAGCATAATCGACCGAAAAACATCCATAAATCCTCCATTCCATTGAAAGGAACAATTCGGAAAAATGCCATCTGTGAAATATAATGAAATAGGCTGACTTTAGACGATAAAAGCATCGATTGAAGAACATTAACAAAAGTAATTAGTTCTTAATATATTATAGTAAAGAACAATATATAGTAGTTGCTAAGTCGGAAACAAAATCATTCGGAAGATTTTTGGTATAACTCAATCTCGGTTAAGTATGAGACATTACTATGGAACATATTAAAAAGAATCGGAACGAATAACGGAGTTATTATTTTACCTTTCAACTCGAAATGGGCTTCCAATTCCAAGACAAATTTGATGTATCACCATATGGTCTGAAACAGAGACATGCAAAAGAAAAGATTTATATCATTAATAACAATTTCCATTTAATCTATGCAAAAAGAGTTCAATAAATTTCAAAAAATCAAGTCCCACATCAGCAAAGAGTTCAAATCTTAGAAAAACATTGGGTATAAGGGTGGCCAAATTTTGAGTTTTACCTTGGGTTATTGACATGAAGCAACAAGAAGACAAAGGCGATAAATATTAAAGAAGTGCCAATAGAAATGTAGGCTATCCCAAGAAAATCATTATGGCCACCTAGCCAAGTAGATGTTGAGAGAACGAGCTTTTTGCTCCCACTAAAACTGTAGGTATTGTAATTGTTGAAGAGATTGACTGAGATGACATCATCAGCATCTAAATCCTCTTCGATTCTTCCGTACAATTTCCGGAAAGTGGGCAGAGCAGATGTACGCATCCATACAATAAGGTCCTCTTGATCACTCAACTATTTGATGCAATTCATTACAATAAAGAAATAAAGAAAAATGAGAAGCATAGCCTTATTAGTTAGTTCTAAATTTAGAAGGCAAAGTCACTCACAGGAATGTTGGGATCAAGATTCGCACCACCAATTAGAGTACCGTTTTGAAAATTGACGGGGTAAACTTGTTTCCCAAATTTATGTTCACGGTCACTCTTCCAAGCAATGTTTTTCCGGTTGACTTTTAGGTCAACTACTCCACGGGAAAAAGAGTATGTGTCGTTAAATAAACTCCAGGCAATGAGACCACATGGGACAATCGGGTGGCCATGGTTAGCATCTTCAGGGTGACAGGAACTTGCATCATGGTACTTTAGTCCATGCAAGAGCTGCTTATCGTTTCGACTTTTTACATACCTTCATTGAAGGAAAATGTATCGATATAATAACAAGATAACAAGAAAGACATCATTTACGTGAAAAAAAAAAGAGAGTATTTACCGTCTATGGTTCTGGTAGTAGTTGTCAAGCTGGTAATAGATATATATTGGAGCTTTCATGTGCTTGGGAATCTACATGCAAATTTGAATCAACGAATTTCAATGTTAGGGCTTCCAAACATAAAAATAAATCAACGACGATAAAAGCTTACCTAACAATATCAAGTATGCTATTTTTAAAACAAAACTACTAGCTAAAGTTCCTAAGAAATTGAGCGACGAGAAAAGCAGAGACACTATTTTCAAGGCGAATTGACAGGCTCACATTGATCATATTAAATAGAATCAATTGGGGCCAGAAGATGCAATATATCATTTGTATTTGAGATAAAGCTGATGGCAATAAAAGTTACTACCTTCAGGGATTTAGAGCAATTTTTGGATATGGAATCATCTTTAATATATGCCAACTTGTTGCTTCTGTATGGTTCTGGCACACATTCCCCGTCGTATCTATACACAATTTCAACAACCTACAAACAACAACGCCAACCAATATTCAAAACCAAATTTTATCTGTACTTACATACTATTAAAATATACTCGCATATCAACACATTGAAGAGAAGGAAGATATTTTACACTTCTCGAAGCGTGAAGAGCGACAATCCCAATTGGAATAAAGATCAAGCCCACAACAAAAAATACCGAAATGACCTGTCGAGAACAATAAGCCAATTGAAACAAAGCACATAATTCGAAGTGCCGAAAATAAATTGAGCTAGCTGTTCGATCAATCATGATTCGTATCCATATGAACACGACTATTATCATTTGCTTACAAATGGAGGCGATAGAACAGGTTTACAAGCTGGGAGACTTTGTTGAGTAAACTGGTGTATGACTGCAAAATAACAATAAATAACCATTAGTTACTACAAAGTATTAACTGTGTGTAACTGGTAAATTGTATCCCACCACCACCATTTACAAACACAAATTCGTCTTACAAATGACATTAACAGAATGTCTAATTTACATCAAATTCGTATACTAACCCCAAGGATAAATTGAGATTTACACACACACACACACACACACACACACATACATACGTACATACATATATACATACAAGGGTTGAAGGATGGAATTAGAAAACTTACATTTGGAGCGGCGGCTCTGTTGGAGTGACACAGAATCAGCTTCAATTACAGCAGAAGAAGAACTTCTTCCATCCATTTCCATTTAATCCCAATTCTCAGTGATTAGTATTAACCCTAACTTGTTGAATTTGGCGAACCATGAAAGCTGAAATTCTTCGCTGATTTCAGCTTCCTGCACATACAAACACGAAGAAAACTCACTCCCATTGATGGATACAGAATATATTGATAAATCAAGAGAAAGGGGGAAAAATATCAGGGAAAAAAAACACCTACCGGAGAGGGCGTACAGTAATTGGTAAAATATCGGAACAAGATTTAGGAGTAATCGCAACCTAGGAATTGATAACGGAGAAGATGAATAATTAACGGTGACGAAACGATCGGAGGAAAATGTTCATTGTAATTCTGCTGCAAGGCTAAAAGCGGGTCAACTCCGCCGTTTAGAAACACACGATTTTACCAGTAGTTGGTTTTGCGTTTTATCTTGACTAGCTGTTGATTGTGATGAACTAAATTGTTTTTTTTTTTTTTTTTTCCTCCTCAAAAAAAAATTGTATTTTTTTTAATTGAATTAATTAATAAAATGTTCAATTCTTTGTATTAGATCTATTACTAAAGGTGTTAGATCTGAAATTAAGTATGATGTCATCTCAAAAAAAAAAAAAAAAAAAAGTATGATGTATCAATAATATTCATATTTAAGAATAATCATACCCTCATTTGTCTCGTTTTATGAATAACATTGTGTTTTTTCTTCTTTTTAATCACTAACTACAAACTTTATTGCAAGAATCGAGAAGCAAATGATGGTCTAAGCAGTTGGAGCAAGTTAACTTGTATCAATTGACCAAGGTTCTAACCATTTGACCAACGGTCGATGTGTCGAGTTTATCACACATAGTTAGCCTAGTGTGAATTACGTCTCTCGCATGCTTTACAAGCTATTATACGATATTTATACGAGAGTGTATGTTTATCTAACTAATTTTACTAACATTTTATTGTAGAATTCAATTTTTACAACATTTTGAAACGCCCTTCGTGGGAAATAAGTGTGTCATTTATGTGAATAATCCTAGTTCTTCTACCAAACATAGTTAAGGTAATGAAAATCTACTTCCAATCTTCCCCTGTAATAAAATCAAGAACCTATCAAATCTGATGAGTGATTTGATCGCTCGGTCCACCAATTATCTTCCCGAAGATTCTATCGATAGAAGGCCCCATTTCATGGACCATCTTAACAGATTCAGAAAGCCGGTGGAGCAGATTTATCAAAGCAATCACTTCATTTCTTTGCAGTTGCAGCTGAAATTTCATTATTTTGGTCAGTTAAAAAAAAAAAGACATCAAAAATTCGTTATGACGGTAAAAAAGTATTGGCATTAGGAACTTACACGCTGAGCCGGTAGTTCATCACCATTGACGGAGAATAAAATTTTTAATGCAGTGCCGAGACCAAGAATCTGAAGCTTTCCCCATAGACGACACTTTTCACATCCCACACAATCCATTATGGCACTGCAATTTTAATGAGAAAGCCAAAGCATAAAGTCATTACTGGAAAAATAAAATATATGAATGCTACTAGTTGAGGGAAGTGTGCTATTGTCTAGCATTTAAAGGAAATAGCAAAACTTTGACTCCAAGAAGTTTGCGATAGTTTGAAATTTTGAAGCAGAATAATTTGTTTTAAGGAGAAATAACAACGGAAAAACAAAAGAGAAGAAGGTGAATTTAAGAATTCGAGAAAAAGGCGTAAATAGAAGACCTTATGTTCTTGAATTGGCTCTGTATCTGCTTCATCAATTCTGGTTCACTTTGGCCTTTCCATAGTTTAGCTTCATCGAATGGTTTCGGACAAGCAGCTTGTAGCTTGTGATCGTAAAGCAGCTTTTTCATCATAAGCTGCGTATTCAGGTCCTCCAAAGGATTACCAGTGTCATAGTCAGCTTCCTCCAAGTAATCTGCAGCCTAAAAAGTAATCAAATAAGGCATGTGTCAAAAAGAGAGAAAACAAATCAAAATAGACACTTCAAAGTAAAACCAACTCACTTTTGTCACTGATCGAAGGACAAAAAGGAAAGCGAAGTATAAGTTTCTGACACGATCTGGATGTTTCAATACCCGATCGTACATCAGTGATTGATTTTGTCCCCACTGCAACAGGTACAAAAGAAAATTGTAATTGAGGGTTAAATCAAAGACAATTTCAGAGATCTAATGTGATCATTGGCAAACGTGATCTGTAAAATCTGCGATGTAACTGTATTTATATGCAACAGGAGTATATTTTAAAGGGTTAAAAACCAAATAGTAGCTAGGTGTTATAATTACCGAAACTACTGCTATACTATGTATTAGACATACTTGCTCACAGCACAGCATATGGCATATAGTTAGCATGAACAGCGTATGAAATATGAAGTCAAGACTGTACCATGTTTATTTTTTCATCAAGGAGGTACTCAGCACCGATGTGAATTGAGATGGAGGAGTGAAGACCAGAAATCAACTTGTACAGTATTCTTTTCTCTTGGCACTCTCCAGATGGATCTACAGATCATGACAATGATCAAATGTCTGAAAATAAGGAAAATACTGAAAAAATAAACGAAAATAAGTACGGTATTTGATCAACCCAATCCCTCCCTCCCTCCCTCCCTCCCTCCTAGTATCAGCTCTTAACTACCAAGACGAAATCTGAATAATCTTGATACTGAAAGAATATTCACTTACATTTCTGGCAATTTTCCAAGTAAATAGCATCCCATATTCTTCTTGCAGATGGACCAGTATATCCAGTATAGCGTTCAGGATTCAGTTGTAGATTTACATATGTCATTTCAGCTGGAAATAATACATTTGATCAGATCATATATCACGAGTATTTGAGCACTAAAATTTAACATTTGATCAGGAATACCTATACTAAGGTATGCAGTAATGAGATCACATTTGCTAACTTAAAAAACGAATTGGTTCAATTTATTTAATATCAAGAGGAAAAACTCCATAACACTGATTGCGAAAAAAAAAAGACGTGTACAAGATTTAGGGGTTACCCTGATCGGTCTCGTCATCATTTGTCCATGGATTATCCACTTCAATCCAGCCTTTGAAAGATTTAGCATCTATAGTACGGTCGACAGTAGCCTGTGGCTTTCCCTCTTGACAAACTAGATTATCCGATGAGAGGATATTGCCATAAGGCTTCCTAAATGTTTCAGGGAACTCGTTTTCAGGGCATTCACAGACACTGCAATCTCTCAAACGGCACATACCGTCATCAGGCCAGAAAGGGCAGTCACACCACAGCTTAACCTATTGCAATACGACATTAAGGCTGTAAGTAAACCTAGTGAAGTGGAAGCGCAATATAAAATCATATAGGCTTAAAAGATAGACGATACAGTCGAAACACGATACTTAAAGGACTTCTTATTTTCTCTCATTTATGATAAAGTCGAAACATGATACTTAACTGGAACTGTATGATTCAAGAACAAAATTAAAAGCAATATATGCATAGAACTTTCTAAAATATTCACACCTTGAAGTACCGGAAGAATGGATGTTTGACAATCTGTTCGAGCAATGGATGTAAAACCACTAAATTGATGCGATCCACGGTCTCATAATCACAACAACAATCCTCCACAAGTCCATGATACTTAAGCCCTTCCTAGAAAAAAAATGAAATCCAAAAATTTCATGTTACTATTTAATTTCAATCATAACTCCAGAAATCAATCATGCATTCATTTTTATAAAGCAGGTGGAATCAGTTTTTTTAGCTACGGATTAAAGACATAGAGTACAGTTTAATTCAATTACCCTGTAATAAATAAATAAATACTAAGGAAAAAAGCATAAATCAGGGGCGAAAGTGTGATTGTGCAGAAACTCGAGAAACTTACTTGACACAGAACTTTACCTGCAACAAAATGAGGTGAAAAAAAATCCTAAAACCCTAGCAATTTCGCCCAATACGACACCGTAGCAATTACTTATTTCTACTCAAAAAAAATCTCGCGAAAGGGGAAAGGAACAGTTATAATGTACCTGAGAACAGTAACAGCTTTTAATGCGATGAACGATGGAGGTGACAGAAGAATCTCTCGGAACGAATACAACAGCAATGACAAGAACAATGGCGGCCACTAAGAAAATCCAACTCCATTGATTTACGCGCCTTTTCTTCCCGTTTTCGGATTTAACCATTTCGATGCGATAACTCCGATGAAGTTATTAACAAATTACGGCGAAATTAGAATTGGAATCGATTCTCCGGCGGCGCGTGTGATGTAAGCCGAGCTCAAGTGTGGGAATTTATGCACAGAAAAGAAAAAAAGAAATGGATGTATGAAAAATTGCGGGCGATTTGTTGATGGTATTTTGATGTACAGGTTCGAAGTTCAAAAACAACGGGTGTTGGAATCTATTAGAAATGATTTTGGGGATTTAGCACTAAAGAGTCGCTCGCGACTTCAGCTTCGAAATGCGCCTTAGATACATTACTACAAATTTTAGGAATATCACATTTAAGAGTAAATTACGGTCAACCCCCCTCTTATTTAGGTAATTACGATCACCTCCATCAATTTATGAATTTTTTTATATGTCCATCCTTATGGTGTCAAATTCGACGAATCCTCTAAATTTCGTGGAATGTTCTCTAGTTTGTACTCGTTTTGTGCAACAAGACAGTTTCTGATATTTACTAGGGCTGACAATCGGGCCGTGTGAGCCGAGCTTGGGTCGGCTTAAGCTCACATACCATCGGGCCTAGTTACTATAGGCTCAAGCTCACATGTCATCGGGCCTCATTAGAATAGGCTCAAGCTCGGCTCATGTATTTTTTCGGGTTTCGGGTTTATATCGGGCCCCGGCCATTACTATATAATTGTAATGAGTAATTTTTTTTTTATAAAAATAAGTGATGAACAAGATTTGAAGCCAATAAAAACAAACCCTAAACGATCTTTATAAGTTATTGGAAAAACTTGAAAATAAAACCGAAAGAAGTAAAAAAATATTAGTAACTCTTATTATTGGAACATTTTATATTCTCAAATCTCGGTGATATGTTGCATTTGATTCATATTTAACTTACTGCCACCGTCATTACTTAATTCCTTTTATTTTGACTTTTTTTCTTCGCAAAATCAAGTAATCTTATACGATCATAAGTTGTATGTTGAGTTATAGTATTAAAATAATAAATATATTATATATTTTATTATTATCCAAATCGGTCGGGCCTTATTCAGGTTGAGCCATAGTAAGCTCAAACTCGGCTCATAAATAAATCGGGTTTAGTAAAATGGCTCAAACTCAGCCCGGCTCACTGAAAAGTAGGCTCGGCTCAAATATAATCGGGCCGAGCCATCGGGCTTCGGTTAGGCCCGGCTCAATTGCCGGTCCTAATATTTACAAGCCAAGAGACTCATCTTGTTTCAAAATGTGGATCTGGATATTGGGATAAAACGGGTAAGAATATTTCGCATAATTTAGAAGATTTCACTAAATTTGATTCCATAAGGATAAATGTGTAAGAAAATTCATAGTTAATGGGTGGTCGTACTTACCTAAACAATAAGGGTTTTTCGGTAACTTGGCATTACCTGATGGAACATCAACTCATAAATTATAGGGAAAATGAGGGATAACCCCTCAATACACAAAATTATAGAGCACAGATCCATTTTACAATTGGACCTTTTTAAAGAAATCCTAAATTGATATTATTAATTGTTAGACCCCCCTGGCCTTATTGCTATTCCCTTTCTGCCCTTTTATTTCTATATTTTTCTCCTTATTTTCTCCATCTTTCTCTCTCTTTCCATTATTTTCGTGAGTTTTTCTTTCTCTTTATTTTCCTTTTCTCTCTCCACTTTCTATTCACTATCTCTTTTCTCACCAGACATCACCACGTATCTTTACTCTTTCTCTTTCTCTCTCTTCCCTATCTCTTCTTCCTCTTTCTCTGTAATCATCTCCTTCAATTTTTTTTTTCATTTTTTTTCTCTCTTTTTGTCATTTCTTTCTCTCATTCTTCCCCATCTCAATTTTTATTTATCCAGAAAGTCTACTTTCTTTTATATGAATCATATGTTATTATTTTATCGTCGGAGTTAAGATTTTTGTCGTCGAGGTTCCATTTAGAATATCAAGATATCGATCTTAAATTGGATATTAATATAGTTAACTGATGAAGAAATTATAGTTGACTACCGAATGCTAGGGTGGGGCTCGAACTTCAAACCGTTACGCGTCTTTCAAGAAGCACAAGCTATCACAGAAATACATGAAGACAAAGGGAAGGTGACGAAGGTAATGCAGTCAAGCCGTGAAGCTGGCAGTGAGGGGTTCGAATATTTATAGTTGACATCGGAATAGTTAACTAGTGAGAAATTATAGTTGATTTTGGATTTTTGTAGTTGACTTCGGAAAAATTGTAGTTGACTTCGGAAAAAATATAGTTGACTTCGGAAAAATTGTAGTTGACTTCGGAAAAATTATAGTTGACTTCGGAAAAATTATAGTTGACTACCCAATTTTTATTGTTGACTCTGGGAACATTATAGTTGACTACCAAAATATTTTATTTTGGAATTGAAAATTTATGCGTCTTACTGTGTTGTTGCTTCAAAGTCGTTTTTCTTCAAACAATATAGCAGATTGGAACAATTTGTTATGTGGTTTGTGTTGTCTTCTTCACCATTTTTGAATGGCTTTATTGCTTCAATCATTTTGCGTTTCGTTTTGATGTGATTTTGCGAGAAATAAAATAGAGTAGGGTTTGTTTGCAGGGGGCTGATGTGTAGTAGCAACCTTGGAGGCGAAAATAGGAAGTATTTTTGTGAGAATTGAGGAATATCTTGGGTGATTTAGGTCGAGCATGAATCGTGAAATAATTGGAGCAAATTTATGAGTTTTTTTA